ACACACACACGCACACACTTTCATGCACACGCACACACATACGCACCCACACACACATCTATTAAATCTTACTAGCACATGTATAACATGGTGTTCCATAAGTACGTCTTTAGGCTTGCTCATCGTGGGATTAATGAAAGGACTTCAGGTACATGTAAGAAAAGGCAATATTCGTTTTCAGACGATCAGGAGCATCTTCCATAAATTACTTGGAAAATAGATTTTTAGATTGAAAGGATTGCTTAAACAGGGATAACAAAATGATAGTCTGTTTGGGAATGTTTTATATTAATTTCTGTATAACTCCAAAACTCATCAAAAGCTAGAACATGCGGCATGAATGTATTTCACATGGACATTCAGTGCCGTCAAATATTCCTTTAGGTATCACAATGAAAAGAATATCTTTAACGTTGAAATGCTTAAGCACAAAGTGCTCTATGTGCATTTTCAGTGCGAGAGAGCTCAGGCATTGGACAATGTTCATGGAATGAGATCCTGTCGGTTGAAGGTTGAGTTGCGGTCGGGTCGGTTTAGCTGTGGACGCGCGGGCTGAACACGAAGTTCCCTCCCACGCTGGGCCTCCTCACGCACGCGCACGCCACCGCCAGTTCTTCCACGTCCAACACGTGAATGTTGGGTCCCCGACGAACCCACACGGGGATGTGGCGGGTCACTGGCACGCACTGGTGTCCGTCCCTGGAGCACTGGGATCCCCCGCACGTGCACACGGCCTCCAGCACCACCGCCGGGGAGTACATGGGCGGCAGGTCCCGGGCCACGTAGTGGGTGGGACAGTCTCCGATCAGCTCGGAAATGTGGATCCAGTCGGGGCGCAGCTGAAGCTCGGGTTTGATGTGGTTCTCGTGCAGGTTGGAGTCGAGCGGAACAGTTTTTCCGCGGTGGAGCATCTGGGACGTGTGCACGATGGGCAACGGCACCGCCTTGTACTCGGACCTGGAGGCGGCCTCCACCTCCTGCTCCGAGTAGTGCTGAAGGAGGCCGGGGATCAGCTCGTCCAGCTGCCGCTTGCTTTGAGGCCGATGTCGGATGTACGACCAGGGGCCTTGCTGTGGCGCCTGGCGTCCCTCCGACGGACGCCCGGCCACGTCGAGAGGAGGGCGGAAGGCCGAAGTGAGCGAGGGGAAGCCCAGTTGGAGGGCGAGCGAGGAGCGGAGAGGGACGAGCACCAGAAGGAGGAGGACGAGAGGCAGCGCCAGCTGGGACAGGACGGGAGCTGTGCGAAGCGCCATGGTTGACAGGTGGGAGTCGAGGGGAGCTGACGGCCTTATATACACCCTGTGCCGCCTGCGCATCCTCGCATCCTAACAGTAATTACTACAATTACAAAAATGAAACGTGAAAGGGAAAAGGAGGAAAATAGCGTTTTTGCTCCATTTACTGATTTTTTTTTATAACTTATCCGATAAGTATTTACAAGTGGACGAACAAATAGTCCTAAGAAGTAGTCTGAAGAAAGGAATTTGGAGAGAAATATTCTTCAACAAGTTCTGTTATTCTATCATCTAAATTGAATACAAATACAGATTAAAAACATTTAAAAATAAAAAGAAACAAAGAAAGAGATAAGAAACACTTGATCATAATCTTTACTTTGGAATCCTCATGAACTGCCCTTCCACACGCACGGACAAATAGGGTGAAGAAGCATCACGAAGGGGAAAAAAATATGCAGGCAGATAGATGTACGCTTAGAAAATAAAAATAAATCGATGCCCGTTATCGTAGTTATATATGAATATATGCATATATATTGTGCATATGCAATACACATAAATGATTTATGCTGTGTATGTATATATACACATTATATATATATAATAATATATATAATATATATATATATATATATATATATATATATATATATATATAACTTGTTTTGGTTTTGTAACAACCAAACCAGTTGAAGACAACACAACCTTCAACCGACCATATCCTGCTGCCGTAAAACATATATTTAATTCCTGAGCTGCACCGTTAATGAAGGATATATTCTACTATGTGCTAAAGCACTATATTTAGGGGGGAAATATGTACATATATTAGGAAAGTTTAAGCGTACATTTGACGACACTAAAAATATGCATGCTATAACTTCTGAGAGGTTCTGAAAAAAACAGCATAACTATTATAATTCAATGATACAAGAAATATACGTAACAAATTAAAGAGATAAAACATAAAAACAATGAAAGATTTCTTTGAGTATTTCTTGTAATACATTCACGCAGATACTGTATGAATATAACATTCTAGTTTTTGAAAGTTAAATCTAAAAATCAAATTCACGAATCGACGAAACATTTTATTGTTCCTCGTTCGACATTTTTGAGACCTCCATTTTTCCCCTTTTCCCACGTAACTTGTGCCTTTTCCCTTAAAAGTCAGAAGTCAGTTCATGAATCGCACAATGATTCAGAAATGCCCCTGATCGTGGCATGGAAGCTGAAAGTCTTTTGAAGTCAGAGTTGTTCCCACTAACAGAACGATGTTCTTGAAGCAGCGGTTCTCACACAGGGTAAAAAAAAAAAGTATTAATGAAAATAGTGATAATGATAATCATGACGATGATAAAAATGTTGAAATTAAGAATGATGATGATGTAAATAATAGTTGTAATAATAATAATGATGACAATAACGATAATGACCTGGGTGGAGGGAAGCAGTTTATAGGGTGAGGACTGGCACTTTCTAAATTAATGGTTAAATGAATTATGATTCATAAAGAACGAATAAAGGAATAAGTGATCTAATTGATTAACAATAAAGTCGTAAATAAACTGATAGGACAACTTCAAGATTTGAGATTAATTTCTGTCACATAAAATGAGTAAAAAAAATAATTCCTTCGCATATTTTTCTTTCCTAAAACTTCACATAACTGCAGGATGATGTGTCAAGGCAAGATCCTTTCCCCCCGTTTTGGACTTCACCATTGTGATGTCTGTACTCACAGCTGAGTCGATTGAGAGGGACATTACACACACACACACACACACACACATATATATATATATGTCATTCTCCCTCCTTTCTCAAATCTCTTTTGAGAAAATGTTCAACTGCTGATGGCAGGAACGATAAAAAATATGATACTGTATACAAGTTTATTTACTTTTTTTTTTTTTTTTTTTGTATGTATGTATGAATAAGACGCGAGCAATCATACGCGATGCATCAGCTGATTGGTATAAACAGAGACTTGGCGAATCGGAGCACTTCAGAGCCCAAGGTGAGTTGCCAGATTTTCCTTTCCTGTAATTGACAATGGTCGTTTCGTGTTACGCTAGATGTTAGGTGTGTGCGGAAGAGAAAGAGATAGTGAGGAATAAGGAGAGAGAGATAGACAGACACTGATAGAGAGAGAAAAAAGAGAAACATGTTGCAGTCTATCAGAAATGCTTTGATTACAGGTAGGGGTCCTCAGTTTCTCTCTCTCTCTCTCTCTCTCTCTCTCTCTCTCTCTTATATATAATATTATATATATATATAATATATATATATATATATATATATATATATATAATTGTCGTCCCTCTCAGTCGACTCAGCTTTAGTACTGACACTAAATGGCAAGGTCAAAGTCGACTCAGCTGTGAATGACCATTGGTATGCTGACATCGGCGCCACCTTACCACATCATCCTGCGGCCAAGTACGACAGCGGTTCCGAAACCTTTTGCCTTCGTTACCCCGACAGTGTTGAGATGGACCGCCATCATCTAAATCAGTATTTCCCAACCGTTTTTACACTCCTAAGAAAAATTTTAATTTATAGGTTATTAATAAAGAAGATGTGTTTATACTAAATTTCATCAACAAAAGGAATATTCTTTTTCATTTTCTAATATGTTAACAAAAATCAATCATATAGACAAAAAAACATGTCCCAGATTATTTGAATAAACCCTACAAAAAATAATCACTTGCCTGAAATACCTACACATACAAAATAAAAAAAACTAACTTTAAAGCGTTTATATAAACGATTTTTCAATTCAATGGCTCATTTCTTCCTATTTCTTGACTATAAGTAATGAATAGATTAATTGCTTGTCTTCAAGATGGACACTTCTCGCAACCCTTGGAATGGTAACTCATACCCCCAGGGGGAGCGAGCACCCCTGGTTGGGAAACCCTGTTCTAAACCTATTCCTCTTCAGCTAAATGAAGTCTAAGGAAAGAAAAATATGCGAAGGTTTGATTCATTACCTGTTTTATGTTTTTTTTTTTTTTTATTTTATCGTGAAATATCAGTTTATTTACTTCTGTATTATTAATTAATTATTTATTTATTCGCCTTCATTATCAGTTTACTCCAAAGAACCATTACTTTAGGAAGTACCTGTCACCCCCAGCAACGGCTTCCCTCCACCCAGGGGGTATTTACCCTGTGAGAGAGCCGCCGCTTTAAGAACATGTCCCGACGTCCTCTTAGAAGTGGGACCAACCCTGACTTCAAAAGACTCAGCCACCGGTTCTTCTGACTACTGACATTCTTGGTAAGGGCAGAGTTTTCATGTTACGTGGGGTAAGGGGGGGGGAGGGTCTCAAAAGTAGTTGAACCAGGAATAATGAAATGTTTCGTCGATTCGTGAATGTTTTTTTTTTTTCATTTCAGAAGATTTCGAAAACTAGAATATGTTTTATTTATACAATATGTAGACTCTCGTGTGTGTGAATTAATTTCGGAATAGATATTCAAAGAAAACATTTTTTTTTTTTTTTTTCTTTTACCTAGTCTTTCATGAATCATGAAAAATAAATGACAAATCTTTAATATGTAGGAACCACAAAATATCTTTTGTGGATTAAGAATCGCTCAGTTAAAACATGAGGTATGTATTCATGAATACAGTATCTATATATATATATATATATCACTTGTATGCTTGAATAATCTGCATGTTCCATTTCGGTGGACAAATACTTGAACAGGATCCTGTCGGTTGAAGGTTGAGTTGCGGGTCGGGTCGGTTCCTAGCTGTGGACGGCGGGGCTGAACACGAAGTTCCCTCCCACGCTGGGCCTCCTCACGCACGCGCACGCCACGCCCAGTTCTTCCACGTCCAACACGTGAATGTTGGGTCCCCGACGAACCCACACGGGGATGTGGCGGGTCACTGGCACGCACTGGTGTCCGTCCCTGGAGCACTGGGATCCCCCGCACGTGCACACGGCCTCCAGGACCACCGCCGGGGAGTACATGGGCGGCAGGTCCCGGGCCACGTAGTGGGTGGGACAGTCTCCGATCAGCTCGGAAATGTGGATCCAGTCGGGGCGCAGCTGAAGCTCGGGTTTGATGTGGTTCTCGTGCAGGTTGGAGTCGAGCGCGGAACAGTTGATTCCGCGGTGGAGCATCTGGGACGTGTGCACGATGGGCAACGGCACCGCCTTGTACTCGGACCTGGAGGCGGCCTCCACCTCCTGCTCCGAGTAGTGCTGAAGGAGGCCGGGGATCAGCTCGTCCAGCTGCCGCTTGCTTTGAGGCCGATGTCGGATGTACGACCAGGGGCCTTGCTGTGGCGCCTGGCGTCCCTCCGACGGACGCCCGGCCACGTCGAGAGGAGGGCGGAAGGCCGAAGTGAGCGAGGGGAAGCCCAGTTGGAGGGCGAGCGAGGAGCGGAGAGGGACGAGCACCAGAAGGAGGAGGACGAGAGGCAGCGCCAGCTGGGACAGGACGGGAGCTGTGCGAAGCGCCATGGTTGACAAGTGGGAGTCGAGGGAAGCTGACCGCCTTATATACCAACCTCCGCAAGCAGACCACGTGCGCGAACATTATGTAATTAGCTGGCCGATTATTTCTAACAAGATGGAGATGAAGTAATATCATGATAAAGTAATATCATAAGCAGCGTGTGAATAATAAGCAGAGACCTCAAAAACCCACACATAGCAGACGTTACTCGAAATTAAAGGAAGTACTTAGATCAGTATATTCCCCAAAAAGTTTTTTTTCCATGTACCCTCCTTGTGTATGAAATAGCTAGCGAAAATGGAGAATAACGGTAAAATCTTTATAAATATACATAATCCCTTTTTTTCTCAAAATGGTCTCTGTCAAGTTATGAATAATTTCACTTCACGAAGAGATAAAGTCTAACACATAGGTGATCAAAAAACCTTAAACCCCCCTCCCCCACCAACTTCCCACCCCCACCCTAAAATCCCAGACATTTTCAAAACCTGTTAGACGTAACTTTTATAATGGTAACTTTTATTTTTTTCACACATCCTAACAAGTTTTCATCAACTATTAAAATCGTTAACAGGCGGTGCTTGCGCCTCTATATCAGCGTGAATAATTCTTTAGGTCAGTGGTTCTCTCAATTTTTTTTTTTTTTTTTTTTTTTTTTGTATCGTTACCCCCGTCTGTATATACTCCTTGGCAGATCACTTATTTCTTTAGTCTTTATTTTATTTCTAAAATAATAATAATATAAGTAGATAAATGAATTTAAAAAAAAAGAAAGAAAAACATAGGTGGGAATAATTGGTTATTTTGAGCATTTAGTCTGTAAGACATTACGTTTTTTTTAAAATTATACACACATCTTAATTATTTATTAGTACATGTATTTACATATCTATCTATCTATCTCACTCTCTCTCTCTCTCTCCTCTCTCTCTCTTTTCTCTCATCTCTCTCTCTGCTCCTCTCTCTCTCTCTCTCTCTCTCTCTCCTCTCTCTCTCTCTTTCTTATATATATATATATATATATATATATAATATATTATATATATATATACATTTATATATATATATTATTTTATTTATTTTATGTCTATTATTTATTTATTTATATTTATGTATATATATATATATATATATATTTATAATATATACTAATATATAATGTAAATGTATTTATGCACATACATTATTCAGAATGCACTTCTTGTGGGATCGACGTCATCGATCCAAGACGTCATCGATCCCATGACGTCATCGATCCATAAGGTCGTGGCGTTGTTGTGAATGAAGAGATATGCGTCTGTATTACTTTGTTTACAACTGTGGTTCTAGGGGGGGGGGAGGCTGGTGGTAATTTTTGTCATATCCACAACGATGTATATAGTTGAATATGTATAGATTGATGGTGTTGTTGTTTTGTGTTTGTGTGTTTGTGTGTATGCGTGCGCGCGTGTGTGTGTGCTCCCACATTTCAATGAAAATTAATTGCTTAATTAGTTGTTTCGCCTATATTTAACGAAATGATACACCTTAATTTGTTATATTGATAGTAATGCCGTGTGTAAAGAAAAGAATAGATATCATGTTCTCAACATACAAAAAGTTGATAAAGAATAATAATATGAAAATGTTACGATTAGTCAAAAAAATAATAATATACTATAATTTTTTCGCACACACTATCGTAATGAAGTAGCACTCCACAGATGTATAATCATTGTATTACATCTTCCACCGAAAGTATACTATCCGTATTTCACTATTTCCTACCTTTCTGTTGAACACTATATCTTTTTATGTAGCAACTTTCTCAAATATTCCATCGCCATATTTTCCTTCTAAACTTCATTTTTTGTATTAATTTTTTCACAATTTGCTGTTTTTGTGTGTGTGTGTTCATTTCAATGTTTTCGTTACTGTTGATGTGTGTGTGTATAGGATAAAAATACAGACACATTTGAGAGAGGTAAGAGGTAGAGAGAGAGAGAGAGAGAGAGAGAGAGAGAGAGAGAGAGAGAGAGAGAGAGAGAGAGAGAGAGAGAGAGAGAGAGAGAGAGAGTGAGAGAGTGAGAGAGAGAGACGGGGGGGGGGAGAGATGAAGGGAAGAGAGTGAGAGGGAGAAAGAAGAATAGGTAGAGAGAAGAGAGAGAGAGAGAGAGAGAGGAGAAAGAGAGAGAGAGATGGGGGGGGGGAGAGATGAAGGGAGAGAGAGTGAGAGGGGAGAAGAGAAAGAATGGAGAGAGAGAGAGAGAGAAGAGAGAGAGAGAGAGAGAGGAGAAGAGAGAGAGAGAGAGAGAGAGAGAGAGAGACGAGAGAGGGAAGAGAGTGAGAGGGAGAAAGAAGAGGAGGTAGAGAGAGAGAGAGAGAGAGAGAGAGAGAGAGAGAGAGAGAGAGAGAGAGAGAGAGAGAGAGAGAGAGAGAGAGAGAGAGAGAGAGAGAGGGAAGAGAGAGAGGGAGGAGGGAAGGAGAGAGAGCGAGAGAGAGAGAGAGAGAGAGAGAGAGAGAGAGAGAGAGAGAGAGAGAGAGAGAGAGAGAGAGAGAGAGAGAGAGGAGAGAGAGAGAGAGAGAGAGAGAGGAAGAGGGAGGAGGGAGGGAGGGAGGGAGGAGAGAAAGAGAAGAGAGAGAGAGAGAGAGAGAGAGAGAGAGAGAGAGAGAGAGAGAGAGAGAGAGAGAGAGAGAGAGAGAGAGAGAGAGAGAGAGAGAGAGAGAGAGAGAGAGAGAGAGAGAGAGAGGAGAGAGAGAGTGAGTGAGAGAGAGAGAGGAAGAGAGAGAATATGAGGAAGAAAGGAAGAGAGAGTGAGAGGGGGGGAAGAGAAAGAATGTGTGTGTGTGTGTGTGATCGATAGACAGACAAACAAACACAGACAGAGACAATGAACGAGAAAAGTGAGCGCAAGGAGGAACAGCAAAGGAGACCAAAGAAAACGAGACAGAGAGAGGCTAGACTAATTTAAACAGAAACAGCCTGGGAATGATGAGGACATGACAAATATAACATTTGTGAATTGCTATCTGATTAAAGGACTGAAGATACTGCTGCGATGGAAATTGTACAAACAAAACAGAAGCTAAAAAATAAAGGACTTTGAAGTTGTATGCGTAAATTACGCTTTCGCGGAATTTTAGAGAAAAGTTATTAAGCCATTGTGAGCAATGAATTCAACTGCTTGATTTGGTGGTAATCACTTTCATTGAATTAGGAAGCTAATATTCTCTCTTTAATACTTGATGGACGTATGTTTCTGCACACGGGCTTTGGAGTAATAAAAAGTGAAGAAAAGTGAAAAGGTTAAAAAATTGAAAAAGTATAAAAAATTGCTTTATCATAAAGATCCCTGACAGATTATTTTCTTTCAGAAATTATTTTAACTATATTTAAGGTTTTATTGGAACCTTGCCTTTGGTTCATTACGAAATATTTCATACATTTCGACATATTAGTTTCCGTAAAACTTAATTAAACCTTTAATCAAGTATAGATTCATGTGTGTTCTATCTTTGGAGTATTTTTAAGTCTGGTTGGTATTAGGAGGAGGAAGAGGAGGAGGAGAAAGGAGGAAGAGGAGGAGGAAAAGTTGGAAGAGGAGGAAGAAGAAAAAAAGGAGGAGGAGGGAAGACAAGAGGAGAAGAAGGGGGAAGAGGTGAAAGAAGAAAAAAAGAGGAGGAAGGGGGGAAGGGAGGAGGAGAAGAAGGAGGAACAGGAGGAGAAGTTGGAAGAAAAGGAGAAAAACAGGAAGAGGAGGAAGGACAAAAACAGGTGGAGAAGGAGGAGGAAAAGGAATAGGAGGAAGAGGAAGAAAAAAAGAAAAAGAGGAGGAGGGGAGAGGAAAAGAGAGAGAACAAGAAGATACAGAGGGAAAATAAGGGGAAGAAGAAAGATAAGGAGCATGAGGGAGGGGAAAAGAGAATAAGAAAATACAGAGGAAAGATAAGGGGAAGAAGAAAGGGCAGGAGGAGGAGAAGAAGAAGAAGGAGGAGGAGGAAGAAGAAGAAGAGAAGAAGGAGGAGGAAGAAGAGGAGGAGAAGGAGAAAAGTGGAGAGTAGGGAAAGGAGAGAGAAGAGGGAAGAGGAGATGGAGGAATAAAGAAAAGAAGAACAACTACAGAGAGAACAAGAACAAAGGGAGGAAGAAGCAGTATCAGTAAATGATGAACGAAGAAAGGACAAGGAGAAGAAAAAAGAATAGAAAAGAAAGAAAAGTAAGAAGGATAAAGAAAAAATATGGATTGATTTATTCGAATATGAATTAATGATAGAAAAACCTATTAAGATTTATTATATATTTTTTTTCTTTCTTTTCTTTTCTTTTTTTTCTTTCTTTCTTTCTTTTTTTATGGGATAATGGTATCGTACTTAAATCGTTTATTGATAAATTTTATCAAGTAACCACAGACTCGACCAATTCCGGCCATCATAATGATTTTATTCAACATGCAATCGAATATGATTGCTATTTCGATACAGCTTGCAATCAACAAGGGAAAAGTTATAAGTGAATGAACAGTGTGAGCTTTTCAGACTAAGGTTCCAGAGCACCTTTTACTACTATGGTAAATTTTAACGTTTCCGAGACTGGAATATTAGGGCCAACTATGGAATCCAAGTCTCACTTTAGATCTAATATTTACTAGAACAGATTCAAAGAGTTTTCACCCGCAAGTTCGACAGCAGGGCAGCACCAACTCAAGATTTTTCTCGTTAAAATGACGGAGAGAAAGATACTTCATCATTATTTATGTCTGGAAGATCACTGGAACCTTGACACCGGATCCAAAAGTGATAGAAGAGGGTGAGGGGGGGGGGTTAAGATAAGACTCTCACCTTGGTAGGGCAGAAAGTGTTATCTTTCTGGTTTAATTGTTCAAAATGTGTAAAATCAAAGTTTCTTAATTCATGGGTCATGACTGTTTAATTTTTGCACCAAAGATTCTTCATAAACGCTACTCAGTGCTCTGTGTTTAAAGGACAGTTATGCAAATAGTTGAATTCAGTAACAGACGAACGGCCAAAAAGTGGAATTGAAAGTCCGAAGGCTGAATCAAAGTCTGTCACTCATGAAGTTCAGTCCATAGCAGCTGAAAGGCGATGGACAATTC